AATATAAATTATTCGAATAAATATAAATTATTCGAATAAATATAAATTATTCGAATAAATATAAATTATTCGAATAAATATAAATTATTCGAATAATTTATCGAATAATTTTTAGGTAATTGTATTCGAATATTCGCCGAATACGAATATTATTCGAATAACGAATACGAATCTGAAGCTCTAACTGGCCATAGAAACGATTTAAAGGAAAGCAACCATGATGACGAGTAAGTGCATTTACACGAACAAAATAATCACATGCTATCCAAATCATATAACATATACGCGCTATTTTATGATATTGGACACAAAGTGTTCACGAAGCGTAAAACCTTACAAGGGTGGATTGATTGCAGAAATTTACTCAATTTTTGGCACAACTCAAGGAGGAAAAGATTTCTAGACAGGATATTCAAATAGTATCAGTTTGAAGGGGTAAATTAACCGTAATGATTTTGAAAAAGTAACAATTATTTCAAAAAACAAATACTTACTTTTGTCTTTTTTCTTCAACGTAAGATATGTAAATAATTCTCGATATCTGTATTGCCTGTGTGCGCCGAAATCTTACTTATTCTTAAGAGTTGGTTGCAGACATCGGGAATACCATTTTGGTGTGTCGCCCTTCAAGAAAGGATAATGGATTAAGCTGATCCAAAGAATTTAAAATGTATAATTATCTCATACCAAGGTAAGTTTGTCGCCACATTCATGGACCAATTCCCAATTGCGTGACCATTTGGAAAAATGAATAATATGTTCAGATTCCCATAATCGGTTGCACCGTTTGCAAGGAGGTCTGCAATTATAGACGCTTTGGTCTGTGTTGCAATACCATTACGGCAATTTGAAGTGACGGTGTCATTAAAACCTGCATCATTCCAATCAAATAAAAGTGCTGGCATTTCGTCGGTCTCTTTTTCTTTTAAATATTTCAGAACAAGAGTGACAATATCTGGATTTTGAAGAACCGTAGGGAGGTTTTCGGGAGCTAATGTAAAAATACCAGTTAATATTTAAAAAAAATCAACATATATGAAAATAATCTAACTGCTACCAACCTATATCACACTTTTTCGCAAGGTCGCGAACTTTCTTTTCTTGCACTACATATTTTCAATTGAGTGTGAAAACAGTCATAAAACTTTTATTAAAACAGAATAAATACCCTTATCGTGAATGAACTTGAAAGGATTTAAACACATGTTTAGAGGACATAATAAAAAATCATAATACTGTATTTATTGATCAGTAGATAATTATAATCCAAAGAATGTGACCCAAGGTCACAATGTCACGTGACATGTGCGCAGTAAATAATCCAGCCAAAATTTCACGGATGATCCTCGATTTTGATTGGCTATGAGCGACGATCAATAATTTGGCCAAAATTACTCAAAATTTTACTAATGAAACCACAGCCGCACATTAAGTGAAAAATATTCCTGGGCTAA